GGAAGGAACGTGAGATGGAAAGAAAGGAGAGGGAAAAAAGATACGAAAAGGGCATGACTGATTTTTATGGTTCGATAATGACGTCAGCTTTAGAGGTTCATAATCTCATCACATCTTTACTTTACATCCACTTTACTCCATGTTCTTGTTCTTGCACTTCTTTTAACTCTCACCTGCTGCATGTTTTCTGAAACGGCAACAATACATTGTTGGTTGTGTCATGTGTTTTGGGTACCTGCAAAAGTTGCCAATAAATACCTAAAACTATCATAATTTGCTCAAGCTCAAGTCCTTTTTTGTTCGAAATGGATTTTCCAATGTATTTTGGCAATAGAAATTAGAAACATATGCCTCTTAATTTTTTTTTCTTTTGGCTTTTTCGATAAGAGATATTTTCGAAATCTCCTCCTTGAATAATTTTAAGAACAAATGCTCATATTAACTTAATGCGTTAAAAAAAAATGTAAATTTTCTTAAGTAGGATCTCAGCATTCAAATTTAGCTTCTCAAGAAGCTTGAGTTCTTTCTCATAAATCATTTAATTAAGGATATACTCAAGACGACTCTCAAAAGATATAATTGACTCGTGCAAGTTATGGCACAAGGAACATCACTATCATTATTTCACAGGAATAAAAAAATTGGACCCAATTGACATAAACCTACAAAACAACCGGCTCATCATTAGTTGCTTTCAATCCGTATCAATTGTGAACTCAATGTTTTTGCTACCTAAGAGCACTAGGTCCACAAATTAATTTGTAATAACCAGTTAATATTAATTGTTTGCTGATGGATCCAAGTTGTAGGCTTGATGGTAAAAATTGCTTATCTAATCTAGTTAGAAGGAAGAGCATCATGTTCGTGGGAGAGTCACTGAGTTTGAACCAATGGCAGTCACTCACTTGCATGCTTCATGTAGCTCTACTACAAGCAAGATGTAGCTCAGTCTGGACAGGACGGCTGTCCACTTTCACTTTCTCAGTGAGCCCAAAATCCTTAATTACTTCTGTCTCATGCTTCGTCTCCATGCATTCCTAATTTTGTTTTTTTGTTTTTTTTTTAATTGACTCGTCGGAATTATTAATTTGTTGCTACATCATTATCATTGTATAAATTTTTAAAACAAAAATTCTAGGAAATTTATGATTTTTTGCTTATGTTGTCAATTCTCACTTGGAAGTTGGAACTCCCTTTCTTCGCCAATAGGAAAAGGTGATAAGATTCCAGTTTCGTAAACCAAATGTTAGCCTTATTTTTTTATATAAAAAAAATAGTAAATCTGATTTATTTATTTTTAAGGATTCGAGGTAATTAAATGAAGGCATATTATATGTGCTTAAGCATCTATATATGCATTAATTATAGAATAAAATAGCATAATATTGTGCCAAAAAAATCATACAAAATTGTCAGTGACGATTTTTTTTAATAGGATTTATATTCCATCACTTATAATGATTTACTTATAATGATTTCTGATTTGTTCATATAAAAAAAATTGATTTAAAATTTTTTTTTCAAGAAATACAGTAATTTGTGATACTACAGAAAGTTGTAGATAGAGTAATAAAAATATATAGTGTCTCTGTCTAATTAGGTAGAGATTTAATTCTCACTTTTGAAAAACTTCTCTTTCTTAAGTCATTATATGACATTTGACATGGGCTGGTGAGCTCAAAAAATTTGGTTCCTAAAATCGACTGACAATTATACGTTATCTGCAATAATCTAGTGCACAAAATAATAAACTTTGATTTGTGAGTTTTTGAAGGCATGCATATGGGGCTAAAGTGATGTTTTCTCGCTATGCATTTCTAGTTCATTTGCCTCAATTTATTTTTCATTAGACGCAATTTTGTAATTTTTTAAAATGGTATTTTCGTAATTTTTTATAGTTTTTTGGACATTCATTTTCAAATTTTACACTTCATTTCTTTTTTGTCCCTTATATTTTTAAAATATATTTTTAAATTGTCATAATTTAAAAAATATTTTGACATCTCATGTTTTTAACTTAGTGAATTTTTGTCTTACATTTTTTTCAAAATATATTTTTTGTTCCTCATATTTTTTAAAGATGTTTTTGGCCTCCTGTGTTTTTAAATTTCGAACAAACACATATATCGAATTATATTTTTTTATTGATTAAAATTAATTTCTTAAATTTGTTGTTTATTATAAAAATTCTCATCAAATTAAATTTTTTATTTTTTATGAAATTTTATTTGTTAATAAATAGATTTATCTTTTCATGTGTATGAATTTTTAATATGTTTTTTTAATAAATAATAGAATTCATGTGTTTCTTTACCTTATGCTTGATATAATCAATTTTTTTAAAATAAAATTTTAAATTATTTTTATTGCACTCTATTAACTTTAATATATTTTTTACAACTTAAATTTTTTTAAATATATATTTTAATTTGTACAGAGTATGCTAATGATGTATACAAAAAATATTGAAATCATTGATTTTATTAAAAATTAATTATATATCCACTCATATAACACCAACTATTTTCTATAAATCATTTTTAATATTCTAAATTTAATTTATTTTAAATAAAATATTATTTTAAAAGAACCACCTAATAATTCTAATACATATTTTTATACTTAATATTATTGGTTGTTGTTGTTGTTGTTGTTGTTGTTGTTATATGTGTGTGTCTATATATAAAATGTACATGTTTTTAAAAAGTTTAAAAAGATTCATTAGTTAATTTTTATACAAATTTTTATATTGATTGTTGATATATTTCTTCGATGTAGTCTTATAAAAAAATATTAAGATATTTTTAAAAATTTTATATCAAATTATATATATATATATATATATATGTATGTATGTATTGTAGGTTTTTATTTAAGAACGAATGAATAAAAAAAATGAATCATGTTTTTTTAACAATAATATCTATGAAAAACTTAAGAAAGCATGAATGAAATACAAAATTTGATTAAAAATTATAAAATTAAACAAAATTTTTATCTTTTATTTTTAATTTAATATATATTAGTAGAAAAAACTAAAAGAACTGAGATATTTACTATTTATTTACTATTGTTTTAGACTTAGATTTACTATTCATTATGTTGTTTGATTTTTTACCCCGACCTTTTCGTTAATTTCTCTTTCAAAAACTTTATTTTTAACCTTGACTAATTCTCCTTATAATTTTTTTGGGGCTTTTTTAATCATTTCTCTTTTCTTTTCTTTTTCCCCCCAAATTGAGCATTTAATGCTCCTAACTTCTTTCAATGTTTTTTCTTCTTATTGTTAATAGGGAAGCCAAAGCCATTTGCTATTCAAGAGTGATTATAAATTAGTCCCTCTTTCTTCAAGAAACAAATTAATTAATCCCTTCAAGCACTAATGCAAAGGAAGGATCGACGACAACAATCTTTGTGAAGAGGAGACTTTTGAGGGAAGAGACATTGACTATTTTAGGAGAGGAGAATGTTGGAGTGGTCGGCAACTGCTGGTGTGGGTGGTCTTACAGTCGATGGCACGGTTGGAGGAGGCAACTATGAGAGTTTTGGTGGGAGAAGGGAGAAGAAAACGAGAGGAAAAAGGAGATTCTATCCAATTTAGGGATGTTTTTTTAGCAACAGAGTCCTTTGAATTGCATTCTTTTGGCAACAAAAATAAGCGTTCATCACTTTTTCAAATTTCCAAAATTGCAACAAATTTTCATCTATTAGTGACAGACAATTTCGTTGTTGAATTTAACTTTTTTAGCGACGAAAATATTCTATCGGTGGTTGGTGAGAGAATAAAAGGTTTAGCGACATAATGTAATGAGAAGGAAAAAAAAGACTCCAATATTAGTGATGAAAATCAAATTCTGCCGCTGAATGTTATTGCTATTTAATAAATTTTATGTAGTGTATTTTCCACGAAATGAAGTGTATCTTAAAAACCACATAAATCTAATTTCGTAATGGTAATAAATAGTACAATGACTACCCACAATTGCTAGTACTTAAGAATGAAATGCTTAATGAATGCTTATAATGACCTCCAATTGATGTAGGGCATAATGCTATGGTGCTTGGCAAATTAAATTACAACCCTAATAATACGATTGGACTGGAATTTATGTCTCCATAAATTTGGGCCGTTTCGAAATTCATACAATTAATTAAAAATATATTATATATTTGGAATTAGTTAGACATGTGTACATTTTTCTAACATGTTGTCAAAAATTTAATCTTAAATTAGAAGAAGGTTAGACAAGTAGATCACATTAAGGAATTCACTTGAATAAAGGGACTAACTAAATAAAATAAAAAATAAAAGGGTCAAGTTGAAAAGTAATAAAAATACAAGGATTTAATGATATAGATATATCCAACAGATTTGGTAAAATTATCATCCTTATGTAGAGGTATGTGCATGGGTCATGCTCTCCTTAAAAGACAAATGGAGAAATTTTGAAATTAATACTAGTTGATTTGACATTCCAGCAACTTGCCTGGTTATCACTCTCTTCCAAGTGAGTACTGTTGGATTGCTTCAGGACATATGTTCTTTTCTAAACCCTTTATTTATTTATTTTTTACATTTTCTCACACTTCACCTTTAGTATCCCACAAAAATTAAAATTCACAAAAAGCTTTTTTTTTTTTTTTTAATAAAAATTCCAACAAACTATATATACATATAGGTAGAACTTAAGCCAAATTAATCATCCAAATATCCGCAACCAATTCTAATCATTTATGCTAATATTTATGGTTAACTGAGTATCTGTCCCATCATATGTATTAACCCAAATGATCATCTAGCTCATTAATACTAATTACTAGTTCACTAAAAGCGCCAAACTTAAAGTGAAAATCCAAAAATGCCAAAACCACCTCTATATATTGAACTACTACTACTACAACTCTCTTCATGTTCAATATCATACCATCTTTGTGAGCTTCAACTACTCATCTCTCTCTCTCTCTCTCTCTCTCTCTCTCGCTCGGACACACATACTCTCATGGACGTGGGTTGTTTTGCCATTAAAGTAACACTGTTATTTCTTTCTTTTGTTGTGCACCATAGAGGAATTGCACGAGGTGGTGGATGTGATCTCTATGAAGGGAAATGGGTTCATGATGAATCATATCCTCTCTACGATACATCACAATGTCCCTTCATAGAGAAGGAGTTCGATTGTCTAAAGAATGGTCGACCAGACAAAGACTATCTCAAGTATAGATGGCAGCCCAATGCAGGTTGCAACTTTCCAAGGTACATAACTTTATTTCTCTCATCTTATATATATATATATACACACACATACATGGCCATGGCTGGCTACGTACCTCTGGCTATATATGTCTAAGTTTGGTGTTGTGTTTTGTGGTTTGGCTATGGCTGCTTAACTCTCGGGATAATTATATTATTGGTACACCAGTTTTCATTTTTTTTCAATCAAGTATATAAACTCTCTAATTTTTTGTGTTTGAGTATATGCCGACTTTTCAAACTCTGCTATCTTCTTCGTTTTTTTGATGATGTGGTAGTTGACTGTTAATATTTCACTTGATCGTCACATCATCAGAAAAAACATTGATAAAAATTATTTGAACCAATATTTGATTTAGAGTTTTTATTTTCAAAAATCAATATACTAAAATGAAAAAAATAAATTATATATATATTTGATTGAGAAAAACTAAAAATTTAGTCTACCAACAATCTAGTTATCCCTAATTGTCATGATTGGTATCTATCTGTGGCTGCTAGTTAGCTGGTCATTTCATTACATACTTCGCGAGAAAAAGACAATGCTATGCAAATGAATAGGATGACATGTATGGATAAATTAGTTGATTAGCTAAGCCTAGGAAACTCCATGACACCCCAAATAGTAGTTTAATTTGTACATAAATAACATCATAATAATCTTAATCGAAGTTGCAACTTGCAAGGATGATATGAGCAAATTGCAGTTCTCAGCCTCTCATATCCTATCATCTTTTTGGTTATATATGTGTCTAATTAAGAATGGTGGGCATTGCATAAGTTTAAAATACACACACAAAAAAAAAAAAAAAAAAATACTGATTAATCATGTTTAAAAAAAATATATATTGGCCAATCATGTGGAATCCATATTAATTAATCGTTCAGTAATCAATTCTATAAAAAAATCATGCTTAATTTCGTCCAGCCACATATCAACTTGTATTTATCTCAATTTTTATTAACTTTTATTTTTGGATTTATAGTCTTTGATAGTCAATATAGTACCCTTTTTTCTTTTTTCTTTTTTTTTTTAATTTCTGAAAAGTGACATACCAACATATTGGACAATATGATGAGTGGTCCTTTCCGTGGTAAGAAGGTCTGTTGTCAACTAAATTCATCTAACTTCCTTTAGGGTAATTCTTTATTGATCTACACCCCACTGAATATAATTATAGAAGATAACAAATTTGAGAAGTATTTGCTTTTCTTTTTAAGGAATTTCTTGTTTCTGTTAATTAGCCTGATACAGGATAGTTCCTTTCTTCCATTTCTTGCATTTCAAAATTAGGAAGTATAACAGATGAGTAGAAAAGGAGTGAAAGGTGTGAGTCATGAGGTGACTCTCCATTGATAGTTATATATCTATACATATATTAAAAAAATAATAAACAGATGTATCTGATATATTCAAATGATACATGTCATTTTGCTGAATTCACGAATCTTTACTATAAGCAATACTTATACGCACAAATCTATTTTTAGCCTAAAAACATATTGGGGCAAAATTTTGGAGAACTGAACCACACTGGAAACATAGACTATTGAGAATATCTTTTGAGAGGAACCAAATCTATTACAGTCTTGATGATAATCAAACCAACCCCATCCATAAAAAAAAAAGGTAATGTTAATAAATAATGATACACTATCAAAACTGTTTTTGTCAAACCACACCAACAATGACGTCTTCATACTCTTTCAACAGTGATCTATCAACCTTAAGCATATTTATCTTTTCAATTGATATTAAAAGTTGTTGGAAACAAAACAATGGATCATTATATCCTTCTTTTTATATAATTTGACGAATCTATTAGCTAAATAAATAATCAAGAGCCCTCGGATTAAAGGTTTCGAATCTCTCTTCTTGTTACTTTTGTTCATCTTCTTCTTCATACCTGCACCAGTCTTTTTTTTATTTTTTTGTATCTCTCCCTTCATATTAAAGGTTCTGAATCTCTTCTCTTATTGCTATTTTTTCTTCACACCTCTGTCAATCTTTTTCGATTGATCTCTCCTTCCATACACTAATTTGATTGTTAAAAGGATCTTTCATCCAACTTAAAAAACTTATTTTGCAAATATTCTATCCAGCATGAACACCACTCATCAGTAAGCATCGCCATCCTATCGACAACAACCATTAGAGAGCCATATCATTTTCATGAAGTTTCATAACCTCATCACATCCTTTACTTTACACTCAGTTCCCTCTATCCTCTTGTTCTTGCATTTCTTTCAACTCTCTCGAGCTGCATGTTCTTTGAAACGACAATGATACGTTGTCGGTTGCGTCATGTGTTTTCGGTCCCTGCAAGTTGCCAATAAGAACCTAAAATTATCATAATTTGATCAACATCAGGGGTGTTTATATATATATATATATATATATATATATATATATTGGAGGAGTCCCAGCCTATTTTGGCTATAGAAATTAGAAGCAGACGTCTCTCTAAAATCTTTTTTTTTTTTTTTTTTTTGTGGATTTGACGAAAGATATTTGGGAGATCAATATAGCAATTGAAATCAAATCAAATTAGTCAGGGTACTGTCTGTTTGTTAAAAATCAAATCAAATCAAATCTTTTTCTTGAGTAATTTAAAAACCAAACTCCCGTATCAACCTAATGCATTGAAAAGAGTAAATTTTGTTGAATACGACCTTAAGATTCAAAGCTTCTCAGATAATCTTGAGTTCTCTGTCATAGATCATTTAATTATGGATATATTCAAGGCCACTTTCAAAGGGTATAATTGACTCGTGCAAGTTATGGCACAATGAAGATCAGTTCGATTAATTTAACAGGAATAAAAAAATTCTTGACAATTCATTGGGCCCAAACAACCAGCTGGTTTGACATAACATTCACCACCGACCAATAAACCTACGAAACAACTTGTTCCTCATTAGTTGCTTTCAATCTTATGATTGTGAAATTAGTGTTTTAAGTACATCAAATTGTGAACTCCAACGTTTTAGCGACCTAAGAGCATCATGTTAATTAGTTAATATTAATTGTTTGCTGATGGATCCAAATTGTAGGTTTGATGGTAAAAATTTCTTATCAAAAATAGTTAAAGGGAAGAGCATCATGTTCGTGGGAGATTCGCTGAGTTTGAACCAATGGCAGTCACTCACTTGCATGCTTCATGTAGCTCTACCACACGCTAAATATAGCTCAGTCAGGACAGGAGGGCTGTCCACTTTCACTTTTCCAGTGAGTCCAAAATCCTTAATTACTTCTGTCTCATGTTTTGTCTCCATGCATTCCTACTTTTTGTTTTTTACTTGACTCGTGGCAGTTATTAATTTGTTGCTACATCATTATCATTATATAAATTTTTAAAACAAAAAATCTAAGAAATTTAAGATTTTTGCTTATCTTGCCAATTCTTACTTGGAACTCACTTTCTTCGATAATAGGAAAAGGTGACAGGATTTAATTATAAGAAAAATCGTCAGATTCCAATTTCATAAACCAAACGTACGTTAGCCTTATATATATATATATATATATATATATAAAGATTAAATCTGATTGTTATTATTTTTAGGATTTGAGGTAATTAAATGAAGGAATCTTATATGTGCTTAAGCATCTATATATGCACTAATTATAGAATAAAATAGCACAATACTGTGCCAAAAATAATCATACAAAATTGTCACTTATAATGATTTATATTTCCATATATGCACTAATTATAGAATAAAATAGCATAATACTGTGCTAAAAAAAATCATACAAAATTGTCGCTTTTTTTTTATAGGATTTAAAAATTTTTTTTGTAAATTTATTTATTTTAATAAATATAATGATTCTTGATACTGTCAAAAATATACAGTTGAGTAATAAAAATAACATCTTTGAGTAATAAGGTTAGAGATTTAATTCTCACTCTTAAAAAGTTTCTCTTCTTTACATGACATTTGACATGGGCTGGTGATCTGAAAAAAAAAAATCGGTTCTTAAAATCGATTAAAAATTAGATGTATTAATCTAATTTAGAAAATAATAAGCTTAGATTTATGATTTTTGCAGGCATATGGGGCTAAAGTGATGTTCTCTCGCAATGCATTTCTAGTTGACATTGTAAGCACAAACCATGGGGCTGCTCTGATGCTCGACTCCATTGAAGGTGGAAATTTATGGAAAGGAATTGATGTTTTGGTCTTCAACACATGGCATTGGTGGCTTCATAGAGGGAGGCAACAACCGTATGTAACCATCTTTTTTTTTTTTTTTCTTTTCTCCATTATATATGACTCTCCTAATTGTATCATGTCATGTATAAAATTGTAACTTACCCAAGGGTATTAATTGGAATTCCTTTTATATAGATGGAATTTTATTCAAGTTGGGAAAGCTACTTACAGAGACATGGATCGGTTGGTAGCATACGAGAAAGCCTTGAGTACATGGGCTAAATGGGTTGAGAGCAATGTAGATCCAGCAAAAACCAAAGTCTTCTTTCAAGGAGTTTCTCCAGATCACATGAAGTAAGTTAAATTGATGCAGATTAATATTCCCAAACCCTTCTTTCTAGTGTTCCTAAAATTGGACATAAGACCACAAGACATCACTACAGTACGGATGTAAAACACCTTAGCTCGTAGGTCCATACATGAAGGTCAGCATAACAACATATATATATCACGTCAGTGGATACGTTGATCTAGTAGTTAATTTATAGGTTATTATACCACTTTAGAGACCAATACCATTGGTCAATATATATATATATATACCATTGAGCATTAGTAAATTAAATTAGCAAATTTTTAAACCTTAAATACAATCAAGAGAAAAAAATATAGTATGTCCTTATAGAATAAATTGAGTTTTTAATTTGTTCTTATATTTTTTAATTAAGTTAATTTTATCATTATAATATGATTAAGTTTTTAATTTATTATTTCGTTAATTTTTTTGTCAAAATTAACAGAATCAGTCATCCATCTGACTTGATATTATACTGAAAATGGCCTTCAACTCTATTGGCATGTCAATTATGTACAAAACACATGACAAATAGAAAAATTATTTTTAAAAACAAATTCACATAGGACTCGATTTGTGTATCTCTTCGAAACTTTCCTTCCTCAACCCTCTCTTTCTCTCGGGTGACCACCCCTCCTTACTGAGGTTGTCATTTTCCCTATAATAGTAGATTATGTGTATGATGAATTATGTTAATTTGGGTGCAAGGAATTAACAAGAATGATAAATTGAAAATTTAATCATTTTATAAAGATAAAATTAACTCAATTAAAGGCATAAAAATATATTACAAGTTTAGCCTACTGTATAAGCAAAAAATGAGTCAGTTGCCCTATAATCAATGATTAACAAAGAAACTTGACTGGTGATTAATTAGTTGATTAATTAAACTTGTGTTGATGAAACAGTGGAAGTGATTGGAGAGAGCCGAATGCAAAGAACTGCGAGGGACAGAAAGAACCATTCTTCAATAAGAGGGGCAATTACAAGTACCCAGCAGGACCTCACCCAGCACAACTGGTTGTTGAGAAAGTAATAGGTGCAATGTCAAAGCCAGTGCACTTGCTTGATGTCACAACCCTGTCGCAGCTAAGAAAAGATGGCCATCCCTCAGTCTATGGCCATGGTGGGCACAGGGATCTGGACTGCAGCCATTGGTGTCTTGCTGGGGTTCCTGATACTTGGAATCAACTTCTATATGCAGCTCTTCTTAAAAGCTATTTAAAACCAGCTAGCTAGTAAATATATCTTTATTATTATTATTATTATTTCTTTTCAAATACATTACTATTATTTCTGATATAAAGAAATAATAGAATTTGGATTGAACAAATCTGCTTAAATGCTATAAGTGAGATTTGCCAAAGTAGTGTCATATTTGTAATAAAAACAAAAAAAATATGATAAATTATTATTATTATTATTATATGTCATAACCAATTTTTTTTCCTTTTCAAATTTTATCTTTTACTTTATTCTTCTTTTATTTTAGGTTTTTGTTTACTTTATATTATTGTTATTTTCATTATAGGAACTTAATATACAAAAAACAAAAAATAAATAATAAACAAATAAAATACAAAATCAAGCAAAAACTAAGATCGATGGATAAATCCCTTACATATCTCCTACAGTTCCCAACCAAGCTCCCACAAACCTCCCGCAACCGGAGGGACAAATCCTCCGCAAGCAAGCTCCTACAACTCCTAAACAAACCCTCGACACAACCTCCCGCATCAAAGTAGGTCAACCTTGCATCCATATCCCCTTACATCAAAACCGTACAACTCATGGACAAAGCGAGTCAACCCCGCAACTTCTACAATGGTGGCTTCGCAACCCGCAACAACATATAGAACCAACATATCCAAAACAAGCAAACATTAGGCACATTTTGAAAACACAATCGTTTTTTTTTTTTTTTATCTCGTTTATACAAAGGCCAAAAACTACCATCAAGGCCAATTCAAAAAAGAGGGACCGATTTCCCATATATAAATAGAGAAAGAGGATTGAGCAAGAAAAAGAGAAGAATGGACGAAAGAATTAAAGGAATCAAAAGGCAATATAGAGAAACAAGTGAGGAGAATTAAAGAGGCAATTGGGTTTAAGAACCGTATGTTAGCACCCAAGTTTTTTCCAAAAAAATACAAAAAAGAAAAAGAAAAAAGAAAGAACTAAAAAATATAATCGAGGGATGCAATTGAAAAAGAAAGGAGAAAAGAACCAAAATAAACCGAGTTAACGAGATAAGAGACTAAATCAAACTTCAGCTAAAAACTCTAAATATCAAGTATAAAAGCCACTTTTTTCTCAAAAAGTGACAGCCTACTATTAACCTCCTCTAAAAATAACCTAGCCACCAGCCCTTCCACCGCCCTCTCTCACTCTAGCCCACCTCCACACACCAGCTTTTCCCTTTTGCCTTGCCCCACACAACAAGCACCCCTCTATCCAGCGCCAACCTTGCCCTCCGCCTAACGCCAACCTCGCCCCTCCTAGCAGTAGTCTCCGGCCGCGTAACACCCCTAGTGCGGCCTTTGCCTAGCGCGCAACACCCCCCATCTCGTAGCGACGAGTAGCACGCCCTCAGCGTGCGGCACCCTCGAGTGAGCGACCTCACCCCGGCGCTTAACCTCCCTCGCACGCCTACCGACCCACGCCCGCATGACCAGCAGTGCTCCCCGCCGAGCTCGTCGCCCAACACCAACACCGGTGCCTAGGCCTACCAACTTGCACTAGCACCTAGGCCGCCTAGTGCTTGCCGACCAACGAACAACAACCCTTCGCATGTCCCTACCCGCCAGCTCCAACCGACCGAGTCACCTTCTCACACGTCCGACAACCACACCGGCTCCAGCAGGGATCACTACCAACTAACCGACCTAGATTCGATCACTAATCGCCATTTCACCTCGCATGGGGGCCGGATCTACAATAGGCGGTCGTCGCTCCTTCCCAATTGATCGAATAATCGATCTCCGTCAAGGTTGAAAGTGTCGATATCGACCTCAAATTAAACGATCAAATTCATATCGCATTTTTACAAGTAATTCATTTTTTACCTTTTTATTTTTATTTTATTGATATATGTATGAAATTTAATTTGTAAGGTTATGCTTGGTAAATTAATTCGTTTTGATGTGTTTGTCAATCAATTAAATTGTGATGACGTACTTGATAATTAATTATATTGTCGTTGTGTTTATATGATTTGGTTGATGGGTTTATTATGTAAATATTTGTTATTGCTAAAAAATTATAATTTTGAATCATGCTAGTTTAAATCTCATCACTTAGGCTATACGTGTCAAATAATCATTAATTTTGAAATTTTTATTAATTCTCCTAGAATATGACTTTAGAATCGTGTTAATTCGAATTTCGCCAACTCGTCAATTTTTGCTTACTTGTCCATTCTTATCGATTTTTTCCGTTTTGCCAACTTGTCGATTCTTGCCAATTTGCCAATTTTACTAATTTATCAATTTTGCCTATTTTGCCTAATTGTCTATCTATCTCGTTTGTCAATTTTGCCTATCTACATGATTGTCGATTTTACCTATTTGTCAATTTATTGATTTTGCATATTTTTCCCATTTGCTAATTTTTTCCTATTTGTCGATTTTTGCCTAATTGCCTATTTGTCGATTTTTTCAATTTACCTATTTTACCTAATTGCTCGTTTGCCAATTTTGCCAATTTGTCAATTTTATCGATTTTGCCTATTTGTCAATTTGCCGATTTGACTTATTTTGCCTATTTACCAATTTGTTGATTTTGCTCATTTTGCTTATTTGCATGTTTGCCTGTTTGTCGATTCTTGCCTATTTTGCCTAATTGTTTATTTGTATATTTCTGTCTCGTTTGTCTACTTTGCTAACTTGTCTATCTTGTTTGTTTGCCTATTTGTCCATGTTTAAGTTTTGTTTTCATACTCGTCACTTAAGTCACATTAGTCACATATCTTTGCATCCATCATTTCTTATTCATACATTACAAAGTGAGGATAAGGTCTCCGATCAATCAAGTACCAAATCACTCGACCACTTGGCAAATGCTTGAACAAATGGGTATAGTTTTTAATCATAAAAAAAAATTAAAAATCAAGTTAGATTTGCATGCAATGCAACTTACCTTAGGCGAGACGGGATAGAATGACTTTTGATCTTCCTTACACATAATAAATCCCTTACTCAAAACTCTAAATAGACCAGTCATGAGATTTTCTAGTAATCATACCACTAGGTGGCAACTCGAATCATTTTTGCCCATTTTTTTCCTATTTTCACCTCAACTCGTCACCCTCGCCCCGACGTCGCCCTGCGACACACACGAGAGACAATTTGTAGACAATTAAAGGCCACTTGAGATAGGGAAACATTTACAAAATTAACAGAACAAATAGGAAAAAAATAATCATAAAGAAATTCTATGGTTTTGGTTTCTTACCAAATGGTTGAAAGAAGGAAACACTAGAATTAGCAAGATCAAGATATCGGTCGAGACGTGGCTTCATCATCTAGAACGGTCGATATCTCGTTGAAGGATCATGCATATTATGGAGATACGAAATAAAACAAAAATTTTCCTCCATCTAAGGCTCCCAAGATCAAGTTGTTAAATCAACTAATCATACATACATGAATTAAAAGCATGAGTAAAAGATTACCTCTTATAGTGTAAATTTAGCATTTGCGAGAAAAGAAGTCGTTTAAGTGTTTGACCTCTATCGATAATCCATGCAACTTAAAACATATATAAAGAAAACCAAAGAAATCACAGAGTGCTAGCTCCAATCCTTCTATATAGTTAACTTTTCTCTAAAAATCAAATCGGGGTTTTTGCGACAACTCAAGGAAAGGATGTGAAAACTTTTGCTTTTGGAAGAGAAACACTTTCTCATTTTTTCTTTCTCTTTTATCATGCATATCTATATTAATCTTACCCTCTTTACCATCCCTCTTATGTATATAGGGGTGACATCCTTGTTCTCCTAGGACAATGAGTTGTAACATGAGTGAGCTTTTTTTAATCTCATCCTTGTAAGCCTCGAGCCTTATCAAATAGAACTCAAGTTTATCCTCTCACCAAAATATCTTACAGTGCTTTTAAATTAAGCTTATTGACCTAAATGTTGTTGGCCTAATTAATTATCAATTAATTTGGATTATTCAAATAAATTGGATTAGATATTGTTAAGAAACCGATATTAGGAAACAATTTCTCAAATCACACTTAAACCTAAATTAAGAAACTAATTTCTAACATAGAAAACTTTTCATTTTAGAAAACCTTTTCCAAATAGAAAACTTTCTATTTTCGAAAACTTTCAACAAAATTGAAAACCTTTTTTCCAAAATCTTTGCTTCTCTTTTATTATGTGAATGCTTAAATTTATATGTGTGACTCAATAAGCTCTTAGATATATTGGTAATATATCAAGAATAAAAGATACAACATCTATCTTTTAATACATAAATCAAGATTAGCCTCTAAGTAGGATTAATTAATCCGCAATTACCTTTCACAAGCATGGTTATCATATAATTCAATTCTCATGTCAATTTATCACGATGTAATCTTAAATTTGATTTAAAGTTTTTTCGATTATGATCACAAGATTTTTTTTTATTCCTAGTTATCTTAGCTCTAAAGTAAAGCAACTATGCTCTATTGGTATACTCATATTGTGGTCACGGATTTATTGAGCGGATATTTATCGAAGTGTAATGTGATAACTCCTTTAACATACAAGGAATAACATATCTTATCTTAGTCATCCATCTATTTTCATTAGATTCATAGTTCACCCAACGAATTATCCACGTGCAGCTCTTAGTCGAGCCCATCGAAACGAGTGTCAAAGTACATAAATCTTCTAATGAGATAATCATAATGACTTCAAGTCAAAGGACTAGTTGTACTCATCTCGTATGAGATTCTCATAGACTAAAACCAAATAGGTTCTCATGATGAGTCAAGTTTAGTGATATGTTCTCTAACATTAATCACCTAAGTGCTTACTTTGGTATCACCATGTCAATAGATGTGAGATCTTCTACTCGTTATCTTATAACATGAGTATAACACTCACAACTCTCATCGTATATAGTCCATGTCCATTCTTGACAATGCTATGACTTGGGACATTTAATAATACCATTTAAGTGTATTAATTTTCATCTCATATCTTTCGATCAATCATTAATGCAATGCATATCATATGAACTTCTATCTAATTCTATAAAAATATAAATAACAAAAATTAATAGAAAGACTTTTCTTTTAATAAAATAAAGAATGCAATATTATAATAAGTCAAACCATCCAAACAAGGTTGGATCTTGGGCACCTACACTAATAATCTCTCACTTGTACTAGAACCAACCAGCCATATCTCTTATTCCCAACGATCGAGTAAGGTCTTATGTTTCAACTATGATAAGAGGCTTAGTCAAAGAGTCTGCTATGTTGTCGTCGGTATGGACCTTTTCTATCCTTTTTTATCCTTATTCCTTAGCTTGCGTTATGGATCCTATGTAGTCGGTCATCAAGCCATGTGACATTGGAAGAATTCCTTTTTTTAATTCTTCCATACTAAGCATTTTATTATAATATCAATATACATGTCTTAGGAGAGCCCTCACTTTTATGTGATCTATCTCTATAGATCTCCACTCTTGGAATATAGGTGCTCTTTCATATCATACATGTAGAAATTCTTAACTACCCATTCTTTTATAGATTATAACATGATAATATTGTAGTCGAGAAGTAGTTTATTTGTTTTTATCTAGAATAACCAAGAATAATAGGCTCTCACTAACCTTTTGTATACATGAGGTTCATCTTCTTCTTTTTTGTGAAAAATTAAACTCGTTGATTGTTTCATGAAAACATCGATTCTTATTTATAGACGTATACTAAAGTTCATAAATGGACCTTTGCAAATCTCATTTGTATATTCTTTTATGACAAAACCATCCGGATGTGTCATCTACACATCCTTATTTGTTTGCCATTCTAGGAATTAATATCTAACACTGTCGCTTTATAGATATTACTTCATCATCTTTTTTACGGTACACATCACCATGTGCTAAGATAAGAAGATCGTATCTTTTTATCTTTTGATGCACTCATTTTAAAGTTATTATATATTTATTTATGGGGTAGTTACAATACTTTATAACCTATCTACTCGGGATTCCATTAGTGGAGTGTCAATTTTTGAGTCTACTCAAATCTCATTGAGTTCAACTTTCCTCCCACTCGTTTCTAACATCTACAAATTCCTTAATAAGGAACATAGCATGCCTATTAATGAGCAAAACTTTATTCTAGAGGTAGAAAAATAATATCCATTTGTTTTCTTTTGGATATTTTATAAATTTACACTTCATTAATTTAAGCTTTAGCTTGTCTTTGTCCAAACGTTTGACATATGCTTTATGACGCCAAATCTTATGTAAAGATAAATTCACTTTATTTCCTTTTCATATTTCATATGAAGTCTGATCAATACACTTAATTAGAACCCTATCCCAAAATGAAACGAGAATATTAATTCAACTCATCATGGACAGGACCATGTTTAACATATGGTGTCTATTGCTAGAAAATTTCATTCTCTCTTAGATGATCTAAAATTTATTACTTAAATATCCATCACTTCATTTGATTGAAATACTTTAATAGTTTTTCTTATTTGTTTCT